ATATATATATATATATATATATATATATAGGCACATATTTGTACTCAGATATGTGGAGTAAAGTATGCAGTAGACGATAGCCTCCCAAAGTAAAGTAGTTTAGTGAAAGCTGTCTTAATAAAACATTTTTTCTGTTGTGTGTAGCAGGACTCCATACTTGTCAGATCGCACCACATTCCACACATTGTGGTTCTGTCGCGTGAATCAAGCTTCCATGTAGATTTTAATGTGTTGTTGTTTACATCGAGTGCATACCTGCATTTTAGAATAGCAAATTAATGCATCGTTACTAGATAGTCATTTATAAATTTTATGATCCCTCCTTCAAGCTCAAGGTCACAAATCAAGGTCAAAGTCAAAACCAGGTCTTTGATTGTCTGGGACATTGCTATAGACAAGCCTAAAACGTGTCATATGCTGCGTTCTGTTTATGGTTGATTCCATAGTTAGCAATGAGGAGCATCGACGGTACGATGTATTAGTATGAGCAAAACTAACAGGTTTATTTCTCTTCGTAGATGGTTGGTGTCTGGAGGCGTTCACCCTCGCTCAGGGTCGCATGCTGGAGGAACTGACGAATGTCCTGATCATGGTTGTGGTAGGAAGGGTGTGTGTCATGGAGCAGACACAAGTAACGCCACATCACTCCTATAAAACCAGCAAAAAATGAGCACTAGTAGCTGGACTAGAAAAAAGTCCAGTTCTTTCAGCTTTTAGTTTGAATTATGACCCGAGTTATGACACAAACGATGACTATAACAAAGTGCAAAAACATTCATTTGAATTTTGTTCATGCAACAAGAACACCAGGCTGTTTTTTGCTAACCCAAACTTCTGCTGTAATCCAACCACAGGTGGCTCACTACCAGCTGATGAAGTGCAACGCAATCAGAGCTTTTGTCCAGAAGAGGTGGTACTTCACCTGGCCAGAGGACCCCCAGGACCTGGACTGGTTTTATGAGCGACTCATCTTGCAGATACTCAAAGACACCAAGGTGGAAGGGTTTGCAATGGACAAACCAGAGTCTGTAAAACCCGAGGAAAAGATTCAGCTGGAGAACATCCAACAAACTGCTGCCTGAACTCTGCCTAAACTTTGAACCAAATTCCAATAACATGAAAAAGTACAATCTAGGCACTAAACGATGGCTGCTAATGAATAAACTGTGCCTTCAAACACATGTAGAGTGGAGGTGAGGACAGTAAGTTTGATTGTTTTACAACATGGGAGAAGAAGAAGGGCAGCATGGTGGTTCAGTGGTTAGAGTGTTGCCACTCAGTGAGAAGGTCACCAGTTCAAACTCTGCTTTCTGGGTTGAGTTTGCATGTTCTCTCAGTGCTGCATGGATTTTCTCCAGGTACTCTGGTTTCCTCCCACAGACCAAAAACATGCATGTTAGACTGATTGATAACTCTAAATTGTCCCTATTTGTCCCTGTGATGGACTGGAGACCTGTTCACGTGTCTCCCGCCTCTCGCACAGTGACTGCTGGACATGGAAACCAGTGACCCTCTTGACCCGAAAAGGAAGAAGTGGGTAGAGGAGGGATGGATGGATGATGATGGGAGGATGGATGGAAGGATTGATGGATGATGGGAGGATGG